GCGCCAGCGGTGCGGCCTGCGCCAGCAAGGCCGCGAGTGAGGGACCCGACAGGCCGACGGCACTGGAAGCGCGCTTTCGCGCCTGGCCCTGCGACGGCGGTGGCGGTGGCGGGTAGTCCCAGCCTGCAAACGGGTCCGTCTCCTGCGTCGGCGGGGGATTTACCACCGCTGCAGAGTCGGCGGCCGCTGCGGCAGCCGCCGCCGCTGCTGCCTGCGCTGCCGCCGCCGTCGTGGCGTGTAGGCGCAGGTTATTCACCGTCGCCGACCTCCGCACCGAAACCGCGCGTATGGAACCGGCGGAGCGCACGGAGCCGCTGCCGACGCCAGAAGCAGCGTCGGCGGCGCCGCCGCCGCCAACCCCGGTGCCGCTGGTTCGCAAGCGGCGGTCGTACTCCTCCGCGCTGCCATTATCCGGGTCTGTTGCGCTTTTGCTTGGGACCTGAGTGGACATGGGTCCCAGGCTAGTGCTGCTAGCTTGGGGGCTCAGGAATGCCCGAGGGAGCTGACGCGCTAGCGGCGACGACGGCAGCTTAGCGAAGGGCTGTGGCAGCTGCTGCTGTTCCTGGTGCAGTATGGGCTGTCTGGTGGGAGAGGCGGTTAACATGGCCGACACGGCGGAGCTGAAGCCACAGGGCCCGCTGGCGAAGCTGGCAGCACCGACCGGGCCGCTGCTGGCGGCAGCGGTGGCGTCGGAGCCGCCGCCGCCGGCAGCAGCCGCGGTGGCGGCCCGATCTTCGCGAACTGCACGTAAGAGACCCGACAGGCTGTCCGGATCCTCGCTGGGAATGGTCTCCAGAACCAAGCGGCTGCTCGCACGTGTCCCCACGCCGGTCGAACGAACCGTATCAAGAAGGGAGCTTATCGCCGTGTCACCCGACGACAACGCCGGCGCGGCTGCGATACCGCCGGCAATACCGGCTGAGCCACCGCTGAGGGGGACGGTTGCGCAGCCGTTAGCCACTGCGGCGCCGCTGTGTGGGGAGGTGCTAGTCACAGCGCCGAGGATGCGGGGGGAGCTACCCGCGCCGCCGCCGGCGGGGTGCGCCTCTCCGTGTGCTCTGCCATCCCTGTCAGGACTCGCTCCACTGCGAATTGGGCTGGGCTGTGTACCGGAGCGGGGAGATGACCGCCGCTGGAAGACGTCAAGTGAGGCCCCGACCCCGCCACTCAAACTGCCGCTGCAACCGGCATCGCCACCATCGACTGTGCCGCCGCCGCCGCCACCACCGTCGACACCAGCGATATTGAAGCCAATAGAGAAGACCTCGTTGTCGGATTCGGCTGCAGCAGCCGCACCGCCTCGCAGCAGCGCCATTGTAGATACCACGTGCGGCTGCAACCGACGGGCATCGGTGGCGCTGGCCTTAGGGGTGCTGCTGCTGTCGCTGGTAACGCCTAGCGTACGGCCGTGCTGACCAGAGCACAGGTCTCCGCCGGCACCGCCGACGCCGCTGCGTAGCGGCGCTGCTGCGGCCCCCACCGATGTATTCACGTTCGCCGTCATCAACGTAGCTTCCATAAACGACCCTTGGGTCGCGAACCGGTCCGAGATCATCAGCTGAGATCCCGACACCGCATTGGAGCCGGATGAGTATATCACGCCACGAAGCTCCTCCTGGAGCAATTGCCCGTCCGCCGCCACCACGGGGTGCGGGCACTGCTGCGGCAGCGGCGCTGGCGACGGCTGTGGCGCGCCTGGGTCCAACACCTGGCGGGCATCCCACACCGATATGGCGTCGCCACCGCCAGCGCCGCCGCTGCCGCCGCCGCTCCCCGCGGTCAGGAGGAAGGGCTCGCTGTTGCTGGAGCTGCAGCCGCCGGCCGCGACGGATACAGTGACCGTCGCCGTACCTACCGCCGTCGCTGACGGAGGCGGTGATGGCGGCGAGGATGCAGGACCAGAGCGATCCCCAAGATGAGCTTGTATACGCGCAGCACTTGCTGCCGACGCTGCCATACCTGTCCTATCCGGCAGGATATTACTGCTTACCGTCACACTGCCTGAGCCACTGCGAGAGGTTGGCCGCCTGACCGCCTCGCCGCCGCTGCTCTCCACCCCGCCGCCGCTGCCGCTGCCACTACCGCCGCCACCAACATTTAACCCATAGCCAGAGAGATTGGACCTAAGTACAGCCGCGTACATGGAAGACGCCGATGCGAGATTCGACCCGCTGGTGTTGCACACGCCCGACATGGAGCATCCCGCTACCGCGGCGGTGGCAGCGCTGACCCCACCGATGGCATGCAAGACGCTGTACGCATGCGTCTGCAAATTCGAGTTGCTGTTCGCCGGGCTGGCATGTGCAGGAGTGCTACTGCTGCTGCGGGTCCCTAGGTTGCCGCCGCCGCTACCGCCACGGCTAGGGTGTTTCAGCAGCAGCAGCGCCGGCATCGAGCCGCCACCTTCACCAGCGCCGCCACCGCCACCGCCAGCCTGCGTCTCGGCCAGGAAGTTCCTCCCACCGCTGGAATTCGACAGCGGCGACGGCCCATGCGGCATGAGCGCCGGCCCCGAAACCGATGCCCCCAAGGTAAAGCTCATGGAAGCGCGCCGCTGCGTTGTCCCCGCCATCACCGACCCGCTACCGCCAAAGCCCCCCCCGCCGCCGCCGTTGCCGCCGGCCGCCGCGTTGTAGCTCTGTCCGCTGGACTGGCCGCGGCCCCCGGATCGATCCAACCAGGTTATAGGCATCACGTTGTACGACTGGGACTTGCCAGGCACACCATGCCGGAGTCCTTTAGACAGGGCAAGCAGGGCCTGGTCGGCAGCAGGGAGACTGTTACTCCCAGGGACCTGGACCTGAACCTGAACCTGACCTTGGCTCTGGGCCTGGGCCTGGGCGTGTTGACCATGGCTCTGATATTGCGGCCCCGTCGAAGCCTGGGGGGGCAGATTCGTCCAAGAGTTCCGGCCGGCGATGACGCCATCGCGGCTGGATGTGTGGGGCGTGGTTTCCGTGGAGGAGCTCATCCCGGAGCGGCCACCGTTAGAACTGCGAGAACACATGCAAGGGTAAGTTGGCGGTTGGGAGTTGGGGGTTGGTGAGCTGCCTTCAAGCCCTTCATGCCAGCCATGTCTCCTTCTCCTTGCCACGCCCATGTTGCACGCCCGAGCCGCGGACGTCCCCAAACCTTCCAGGGTTAAATCACCCCTCCCAAAAAACGTGTATGCGCGCACACAACAAAACTAGTTCCAGGCAATATGATATATTTCCAGAGCCTCGCTATTCTGTCGCTTTCCTGTTCCGAAGTTTCTTCATGCTGGTCAGAAAGGTATCCCCTCCTCCCGCTTGAATCCCTCTCCCTTCACCGCACTCACGACTGCAGTCGCAACATGCTCAGAAGCTCCGGGTTGCTCCGCCCGCCAGTGCCCCGTACGTCGCCGCGCGCCGGTGGCGTGCCTGCCGTACTCGCGCTCGTCATCACGGACAGCCCACTGGCGCCGCGCAGCGGCGGGGGTTGGCCGTAGTGTGGATGGTGATGATGTAGGTGGTGGTGGCCGTGGTTTAGGTGGTGGTGGGGATACTGCTGGCCGTAGCGCGTGCCGGGGGCGGAGTAGTTGCCGCGGTCGACACTGGCGGCAGCGGCCGCCACCGCGGCCGACGCAACCGCCAGCTCCGCCTGGCTGTCAGACGGCGACGGTACCACGCAGCTGGCGGCAGCGGCGCTATACACCGGCAGCAGCTCCGACGCCCGGCGCGCCTTGGCGGAGGTTAGGCCGGGCCAGGGCATGCCGCTGGTGGCAGGCGGCACGGCGAGGCCCTGAGCCTGCATTTGGTGGATGGATTCCTGGCGTTCTGTTATGGCCAGGGTATAGGCCATGGTGTCCGAGGCGCGGCGGGTGCGCATACCCAGCGGGCTGCGCGGGCTCCGTGCCGTGCCGCCACCGCCGCCAGGACTGTGGTGGCTATTGTGTGGGCTGATGCGCTGCGCCGCGGGGCTGTGTGGGCTGATGCGTGCCGTCACCGGTAACCGCGGCGGCGAGCCGGCACTGCCGCTGCCGCTGTAATGTGGCGCCATGGCCATCGCCGCCGCGTAGCGCGCGCCCACACCGGCCGTGAAGGAGTGCTGCTGGTGGGGCAAGTTGCCGGTGGCGCCGTGCTTGGCGGAGCTCCTGCCACCGCCGCCTGCCGGAGGTGAGTTGCCGGGCGCGACGCCGGTGCCGGCAGCGGCGGCGGCAGCCGCTGCTGTCGCCATTGGACTCGAGCCGCGCTGGCCGCCGGCTAGCGACCCCCGGCCTGAGTTGCCGCCGAACCCGAAGCCGAAACCGCCGCCTGCAGCGGCCGCAACGGCATGGTTGAGCTGGTGTTGAGAAGCTGACGATGTTATCATCACGGCGCTGCTGGCGCCGGCGCCGCTGGGACCCATCATGGCCACCACAGCGTCGGCGGCGCCGGTGGACATAAGTCCCATCAGGCTCTGGCCCCCACCAGTAGTTAGCGCCGGCCCTATGCCGGCACTGCTCATGATACCGCCGACTCCCAAGCCCATACCAGCGGTACCGCCGCCGGCAGCCATGACGGCGAAGCGGCTGAGGGAGGTGTGCGGCGAGAGGTTGGTGGCGTTCGTCCCTGTGGTGGTCATCAAATCGCCACTGGCCTGCTTCACCCAGCTGGTTCGTTGCTGCTGCTGGGCTGCGGCGGCAGCTACCTGCAGCGGCGGCAGCGGGGACGCGTATTCACACGTAGACGCGTGGGATTGGGAGGAGGAAAGAAAATCTCACTCCTGCACTTCTGATTCTTGCTTTTCCTTGCTGCTGGCGCTGCTGTTACGCTGTTATCGTATTCGTACTCGGACTGGAGAGAAAGCCATCCAAGGAACCTGCGACTCGCACCCGTCCTCCTCACCTCCTCTCTCGGAACCCCTTTCCTTCACTTTCTTCGTTCCCTCCTCCTCTGCCCACGTGCCCTCCCCGCCCCGCCCCGACCCGACCCGCTCCTCACCCTGAATGCCGAAATCGCGTCCTGCAGCAGCGCCTGGCTCAGGGAGTCCGGGCGGCGCAGCCAGGGGTGCTCCAGGGCCTCCGCGGCACTGAGGCGCTGAGCGGGGTCCGGCTTCAGCAACGATGACACCAGGTCACGTGCGCCCTCGCTCACTAGCGCCCATCTGCGTCCGTGGAAGGCCCACTCGCCCGTCTTCACGCGCTGCAACACCGCCTCCAAGGTGGGAGCTTGAAAGGGAGTCTGCACGGGCGGCGGCGGCACACAGCACACGACACGCACGTACAAAACACGTACCGCGTGTGAAATGCACCGCAGTGCGAAATGCCTCATTAGGAATTTGATTTGGTTACCAGGATGTTGTACATCGCTGCCAGCAGGCATCAATGCGGGTGACATTTGCATGTCGTTAAGAACAGATGACGAAGCGCCACCGAACCGAACGAGGCCCAGGCGGTCACTGAGGGCCGCCGATGCAGGACACAGGGAGTGCGGAATAATCCTGCCCTGACCTGCTCTCAGATTATCCTCCCCTGTTACCCTCCTGCCTTTGCCAAACTATCCCTGACCTATTCATTCCGCCCTGCCCTCTTCATCCCGCCCTGCTCTTTGTTCCGCCCTGCCCTCTTCATTCCGCCCTGCCGTCTATCCCGCCTATGACGACCGCGAGCCCAAATCAGCTCGCCATGCAGCTCTCGAGACGGGACCTACCTGGCCGCTGAGCAGGAAGAAGATCATCACCCCTACGGCCCACATATCCACTTCGGGCCCACAGCCGTTCTGTAGCAGCCGCGCAATAGAGCACGTGGGCGGTAAGGCACGTGGGCGGCAGATGGAACCTTGCTGCAAGCATCCCCCAGAGATTGCGACAACTTCCTCCTCGCTTGGATGCTACCGCGTTTTCATCTCCAAAACCCTTTCTTCAAAACCCCACAGTGCAAATCATTTCCTATTCCTCCCTTTCCGTTGGACCCCTACCCTCGCATGCACCACCCACGGGATGGTCTTCTGTGTTCCAAGTCCCAGGTCCCCACCTTGGCGTAGTGTTCTGGCCGGGTGAGCAGCTCCGGCGCGACAAAGTCCGGTGTGCCCCCCGGGTCAGTGGGGCTGTAGAAGAAGGACGCCAAAGAAAAGTCGATGAGCTTCACGCACGAGTCGTCGCGCCTGTACCGAGGTGGTTGCGATCGTGGTATACACAGATGCTAATAATGAAGGGGATTCCGTTCATTACCAACCCCCCGTTCATTCCCTGGACCTCGCTTCACCAAGACGGTCAAGCAGCGATTGACTGCCCTTTATGTCAACGCTAGGGAACTGTCAACCCAACCGCTGCAGAGGCCCGACCGTCCATCCAGACACCTGACCCAGACATGAGAGTCAAGTTTTAAAATAAAGGAGTCCAAGACATCCCAACCAGCCCAACAACCCCAAAAAACACTCCGCAAAGCACTCGACCCAGATCGAACAAGTCCAGGGAAGCCCCTCCCACCCGACGCAAATGGATCGACATCCACAATAACTCCACCCGCGTGTCCGCACAAACCTCGCTCGGGCCACGGGTCATCGCAAGTGGGAGGTCCATCCTCTCCCGTGCTGTCCACACAGGCACAGCGCGCCCCAGCCCCAGCCCTTTCCCCCCAGAACCGCAACCACTAGCCCCAAATTACAAGTTCCGGCATGGCCTTAGAGCCCTGGCACTAGCGAAGGGGGTAAGACTGGCGAACCACTGGCAAATGAAGCAGATACCAGAGATAGAAGGGTAGTCCAAGAGAAGAACACAAATGCTGCATCAGGAGTTTTAGTGAAGGGACGGCAAACCCCGTCTCCATCAGCGGTTACGACGACCATATTCCGGGGTCTTCCAGTTACAACGCTCAACCCGACGAAAAGCAAAAGCACCCAACCGCAACGCTTTGCCCTCAAACAACCAACACACGGACGCACCCAGCGCAGCTCAAGCGCACCCGGATGCGGCCAGGTAATGAGCGGAATTCAAGACTTCCCTACGAGTCTGTTGAAAATGCATGTAGAGCTCCAACTTCTGAGACCCACAATCCGTGTGGTCCAGCACAAAGACCTAGACCCCCGCTATCCCACTCCGGCAGACCCGCCTAGCCCCGCTCCACCTTACCCTACCTACCCGCGCCCATTTCTACCCACCCAACTCGGGCTCTGAAGAATCTTACCTGCTGGCAAAGACTAAGTTCTCCGGCTTGATGTCCATGTGTATGATTGCGTTGTCGTGCAGATGCTGTACTGCAGCCAGCAGCTGTCGTACAAGCCACGCCACTTCCCGTTCGCAGTAAGTAGCACTGGCCGCTAGTCGCTCCACCAAGCCCCCCCCATCACACAGCTCTATGGGTAGATGCGGTGTACACACACAAAGTTGTGGTGGGGAAAGTGCATACGAAGACGGGAATGGTGATGGAAGCAATCCAAGCAAAACGTGGTTGCGGGTAAGGGAGGGATCAGCAGTCGTGGGTAAGCAGTCGTAGGAAGCGTGCCACCAAAAAGAGGAGCATATGAGCATATTGGGACTATATAAAGGGGTTTTGAGTAATTAACGTGAACGATGCGTGAACGAGGTCAGTTACGCAGAGAGGGCTCTGGCCCCTCTGGTTGTCACACGAAGAAAAAGTCTTTATTTCCTTTATAGGCAATCCTCTTCCCCACCACCTCAGACCCCCCCCGGTACCCCCCTCTCCTCCCCCTTCCCCAACCTCCCCCCTGCTCCATTCGCCAGTGGTTCGTCTTACCCCCCTGGCCCCTCCCTCGACTAAGATCCCCCCATCACACGTCAACATACCCTTCCATCAGCCCGCGCTTGCCCGCCCATACCCGCTATGAAGTACATCCGCTCGGCAGAGCGTAAAGTCTGCTTCAGCTGCGCCACGTGGGGATGCTGCCCCGCCGCCGCCCACACCGCCGCTTCGCGCTCAACGATATCGCTGTACTCCCGAAACGCCTCCGCCTTGATGATCTTAACCGCCACCGGCTCGCCAGTATCGTGCAGGCGGGCGCGCAGCACGCAGGCAAATAGCCCAGAGCCCAGCATGTGCGACCAGTCCGTCTCGCAAATGTCGGCAAGGCGCAGCTCGCCGGCGGTGGCGGAGGCTGCACGCGCCGGCGGCGGCAACAGCGGCAGCAATGGCTGCGCTGCAGCCTTGCGGTGTGCATGGTCGCGAGCTGCGGGGTTGGAGCGACTCAGGTCCAGGGCCCAGGCGTCCAGGGCCGCGCGGTCGTCGGTGTAAAGGTCCTTAAAGGTGCCGCCAACACTGACAACGCGGATGCCGTACATGGTCGCGCCGTTGCGGTATCGCTGCGGCGGTAGCGGAAGGACCTCCCGTACTGGGCTGGGTAGTACGGACTGTCCCTCGCGCTTAATATACTGGGTCAAGGACAGGGTGAGGATATGGAGATGGGGGAGGAGAAGTGGTAAGGCATCAGGCATTGATTGGGCGGCGAGCAGCATAATGAAAAGGTTTGTGCGTCGGGAAGTGCACTGGCTGCGGGGCGTGACGTGCGTGAACGTGCGTAAAACAAGGGAAGGGAGAGGCAGTCCATTGGTGGTGGAATAGGGTTAACCCCGTAGGGTTAACTTTTAGCAACGTCAATGGCCAAAGTGTCCGAACACGGAACATACATTTGGCCGCTGGTGTTGGTGTTAGCGGGGTTGCGCGGGAATGCATAGGTGGGGAGATGGGGTGATAACCTTTGCGCGAACCCTGGACTCGGGGTTCACGCTGTTGTCACAACCGTATGATGTGTGAAACAGGGGGGTATATCTTCGCCCGTGGCAGCTACCCTGCGAAACCCTGCCTTCCCCGGTATTTCGGGGCACCCTCATCCAGTCACCCTAGTCAACTTCTGAGTGGATCGCTCAGGTTCCGCACCCACCACCAGCATCCAACGGAATCTGCCGGGTCGACAGCGGCCCAACTCCGTTCCTGGTCGGCTCGCAGGTTAACTTTATCCCAAGTCACCACCATCCATCAACTAGGGGCGCAATGCCTTCCACCATCGGAAGGACTTTTGACCCTAACGGGTATGTCGCGAACCGTATGTCGCGAAAAGTACTGCGGGGCTCCTTATGGCCTTGCACACCTTTGGAGACACCGCGTACAGAAATCCATTGACGTCTAACTGGAACCATCGTGATATCCATGTCTTGAACAGCCGCGTCCGCTTCCACAAAAAGCCATGGCGGACGGGCGTCAGGACCTACGCATCAAGGTGCGTGCCAGGCAACGTCTTGGAGAAGAGGACATTACCCCTATTGTGAGCCAGATAAAAGATATAGCGGAAGGGAAAAAAGGTACCCGACGCAGCCCAGAGGCGCAACCCGTGTTGCTAAGATCAGTGCGAAGGAGTTCAAGCAAACAACTAAAAAGAACGTGATGTGTATATATATATTCTATTAAAACAAGCTAAAAGTAGGTGTCGCTGGCCCACCTCGGGGCTTGCTTGCAGTGCCCGCACGCTGGGAATGGGCACCGGCACGCTGAGGCTGGAGTCCACTTGCTGGCTCATCCTGCGCGTCTCGCTTAAGCTGGGCTACCACGAGCCAGCTTCAGCATTCGCTCGTTAGACCACCACACGGTCACATCCCTTGCGTTGTTGCACCATGTCATGAAAACAAAAAAAACAAGCTTAACGCGACTGTATATCTGCGGACCATGTTGAATGCATATAATGAGTAAGTCATAAAGGAAGGATTGGCGTCCGCTAGAATATCAGCTAGCGTTTCAATAAAAGTAGTTCCTCGCGAGACCCTGGCTTGCCTCGACAACAGAAACACAAGATGCAACGCTGCCGTATGTTTTTAGTGGTACCTCCCGCCTCAGGAAATCCCGAGAACATTACAGGACTGACTTAAAGTTTGCTGTATGTTCTTTAAATGTTCTACATGTCTCGTTCCTTTGGCCGTTCGTCTCATAATGTTTTAATCCTTTGTGGGCTTTTTGCGCGGTTTCCTGCACCCATCTTATTCACCGTAATGAAGACGCTAGCTCCAAACAAGGAAAGGAAATGCGATTGCATCTTATACAGATGTCACTGACACAGCGCCGTCTGTTTCAACTTCCCTTGGGCCTCTATCTCCTTCAGCTGGTCCTCCCCTTGGTGGACATTCGGGGCATATCTCAGAGGGGCTACCGTAGGTGTTGTTCTGGGGCATATGCAATGTCAGCAAAACCTAAAAGAGTTCGCTTGCCTCTGCTTGAGCACTGCCTGAACTGACTGTCTGAAGGTCTGTAGATCCCATGACGGAAGAATTCCATACCTCATGACGTACCGGTACCTGGAGTTGTAGGTCGTCCATTTATTTTAGAGTCGTCCGGGGATGAAATGTCTCCCATTTCTCTCCCTGCCGTACCGTCGGGTCCTTACTGTCAACCCGCTGCTGGTGAGTTACGCCGGATACACGGTCTCCTGTACATGTCGTACGTTAGTTAGAGCGCGCCTAGATTTCCGGCCGTGAGGCCGTTACGCGTCACATCAAGGTCGGCCATCGTGTGTTCCGTTCCATGTATCATTACATCGCGTGGGGCAACCCGGTGTCCGGATCTTTGCATCAGGGCCGTACATTTGAACTCATCCATGAACGCGTGATGAGGTAACCCCGCAACCGGGTTTCGACTCCTGTTTCATGTTGCTGCTTCGTAAGGCAACCGTCTTGCTCCTTTTGCAAGTGTGGTCGATAGGACTTGGCCAGTGTTAGTGTGTACGACTGGACCCTGTGTGCACCAGCTGCTGCCTCGCACTGCCTCCGTCATCCTCCACTAGCGGCCGAGCTGACGTCACAATCGCCAGGTGGGTGTGCTGGGCAGGTTCTTGGATTATATGGTTGAAGGCGTGTTGCAAATGGATAGACGAGTTGGTGACGGAGGGGGATTTCGGTATGAAATTGTTGTACCTTGGAAAAGTACGGCGTGTAGGGAGTACGGCAGGAAGGTCTTTATCCGTATGTTCACTGCGTGGGTGCCACTTTGTGTCCGTTCGTGATGTAGTGATGTCGTACACACGTTCGGAGCAAAGTTTCTTGCTGTGGGTGTTTCGTGGCGCGGTGTTTTTCTCCTGTCCTGCCGGCAAGCAGCAACAGCAACAACGACAGCAAAAGCACAAAGGCAGCAAACTGCAAAGATAAAATCAGCAAACACAGACAGAAGCTGCAAAGCCCGCTAATGATTATCGTTGCGGTGTTCAGTGGCTTGTAGTTGTGCGTGATTGTATGTATGTATGTGTCAATGTAAACATGTACATGTCGGTGAGGATGTGTGCGCGTGTGTGTGTGTGTGTGTTTGTGTGCATGCACACGCGTGTTACGTATGTGTGGGGGTGCTACTGTTCTTACTTGTGATGGAGAATGTCCATCTGCCCAATCTGCCTGTATGCTTATTAGTATTTCCCCGCCCATTCCCGCCGCCGGTCTGAGCGAGCCTGGGCGAGGACTACCAACAGGACAACACATATAGGCGCGACGAGCACCACAGCCGTCGTCACCGCCGTACATCGCCGTCATGCGTGAGAGTGTAAAGTACGAGAGGGGCCTCGTCCCACACGTCCCCATGCCGTCTTGCAACGATTTGCCATAGCATGCCGGATTTTGGGGGAATAATCCCCCAGTAGCGATTTCTGCTCCGCGTGTGATGTCATGTGCGCCAACTGTTTGAAATGTCGTACATCATTCATACCACAACAAAGCACTGGTGGTCGGTTTGAGAGCGGCATGTCAACAGCAGCAAAGAGCAACAGAAGGAAGCAGCACAACAGCTCTAGGAAGCTCATGCAGCAAAATCGGCTCTCAGCTCCGCCGACCACCAATCCATCTGCATCATCAATCCTTTGGTGTGGTATGCATGATGGCATGGCATGGTCGAGGGTCGTTTGGTTCCATGTCTTGAGTTTCGTTGGAATCTGTTGTGAATTCAGCCACTCCGAAACCGTCTCGTAGTGTGTATGTAACCCCGTCATCTCCGCCCAAAACCCCTGATCCCCCGCTGCAACTGCATCAACACCTACCGGGCCTGAGCCGTCACCGTCACCACCGACGGATTTCTGGGATGCAGCATGTTTACTGAATTTTTACAGAGTGGGAGGCTTTTGGGCCACTTGAACATAGACATTTCTATGAACAATCAGCATATAGCACTCGCTGCTGTCGCCGTCTCGCCACCGTCGGGGGAGGGGAGGAAGAGTTAAGAGTGGCAGTTGTAGGGTTGTTGGTGGAATTGGTAGTTGTGTAGGAGTTGATAGTTGAGCTTCGGCTGGGTTGTGACTTGTGTGACTCGCGGCCCCATTGAATCAATGGTTCTGCACTACAACGCTTCCATGGCTGCCTCCACGGTCTCGCGCCTTTTCCCGTGTTGCATCAGCCTTGCTGCTGGTCTTGCAGTGCGCCTTTGCCTCTTGGTTCTGCACTATGGCCCGTTGGCAACCGTTGCCTTCTTAAATACATAAGGCTCCAAACCAAAAACATCAGCTGCACAGGCGCAACAATGAAGGCGCACCACGACCCTGCCATGCACAAACAGGCTAAACAAGAGAACACCGAGCCTAGACGAGGGTGGCAGAGCGGTCAGGATGCGGCGGAGGGTCGGGCACAGGATACGGATGGGAAAGAGTAGGAAGGAAATGTGGAAACCCCCAGGATAAGGATGGCAGACACAGGGCCCAGAATGGCAGCATATTTGGAAGGGTCGATGCAAACCCACAAATAATGAGGATGGCGGATGGTCTCCAGGATGAGGGATGTTTGGCTCGAGGATAAGAAAAAGAGGTTGTGTAGGATGTATCGAACTGACAGGATGTGTGCCCGACGGCCCCCAGGATGCGAGGATGGGTGCCGCTCTGCCACCCTCCGAGCCTAGTGGCGGCCAAATGTTACCCTAGGAAACCAAAGGTAGGTAAGTCGAAAATCTTTTGGCACAGATCAGAAGGAGGAATACAAGCCGCAACTGCCGCCATAGTAGTCTCCACGGGGCTGTGTCACCGTTGGCTGTCGCTGCTGCTACGGCACCCCCACGGAATACAAACCGTCACTGCCGCCATAGCTATCTGCGCGTGTGCTGCCATGTGCAGCCTCCCTGCTGCTTCCAAATCCGCTTTGCAACCTTGGCTGTCGCTGCAACTGAGGTGGGGCCCCGGAATACAGGCAATCAGCACTATCATAGCTGTCCTTGAGGGGCTGTGGCAGGCCCACGGGCTGAGTGTTACTGCCCGCATGGTAGTCCCGACGAAATCTGTTATTGAACGAAGTCCAGCAATCGCCCAGTAACGTCGAGCCCTCACGACCATCGAGCCGCACTACACGAGAGAGGGGGAAACAGGGACGCACAAGGATTAAATTCACCCTGGACACGATTCAGGGAACCCAGAGGTTTTCCTGCCAGCGACAGGGACATTAATGAATGAATCAAACAAATCGATGAGGGACTCATAGTTTTCTCTGGCCCCAATAGAGCCTTGGGGTCGTAAGCGCCTTCCATGCACCCCAGGAGTGAATGCATGAACAGCGGCCTGGCTTTCCTGAACGACAGCGTCCCCGTGTGCATTTTGCGCATGGCCTTTACGGCCTCGGCCGCTAGTGCGCCCGCGGCCACGTCCACGACCGCGGGAAGCAGCTGGGTTTGACCGGCGGAGTTGCATTTGTCGGTGTCCAGTCTCCGTCGCTGGAAACGTCCACCATATTAATGTTGTTCATTGCAAGGTGTAGAATACCTTCAAATTAACAATGCATGTATCTCAAAAGTTTTCAGTTTACCTCAGAGCCTTTGTAAAACTAATTCAATAACTTACATTGTTGTGAAAATGCTGCCTTAAATAGCATTGAACAGCAATGAGGGTCCTTGAAATGTTCACTGAATGCGCGGTCGCCGTACAACTTTCAACTATTTTCATATACCCTCAAAGCATCACCATTACACTGTTCATTAACTTACAAACCATTTTTCGTTTCGTTTCAGGCAGTGTCGTTTTCACCCGCTTTAATAACAAGTATTAGGATCTCATGGAGGTGACAGACGTGATAGAGTTGAAAATCTGTCTAGTCGACAATGAAATAAAGATTGTCAATGAACAAATAGCGGCGTGCAGAGATAAGGAGGTGCTAGCGTACTTGTGGGGCGAAAAGAAGCAGCTACGTGAGGAAAAAAAGCTGCTCTTGGAGCAGCAAAAAGATGCGAAAAAGCTGCACTTGGAGAAGGAGCTCATTATGCTGCGCAACGGTGAGTAGCGTCAGCGCATATGCTCGGAGTCAAGCTACACTGCATACGATGGTCCAGGTCTCTCTGAACCGTTAGTAAGCTGTTTGTTCCTTTACTATTTGCACACCCTTGCTATTTCGTGATAAATGACTTACCTGCGTATTGCACCCTCTTTTTTCCTTGATGTGCAGCTGCGGCAACTGCTGTCCCGCCACCGGGTGCCAGCTTTGGTGAGTTGGACCCCATTTTACATAACATCTTGGATCTGAATGCTTTGTGTCCTCATTCCAGTACAATAAGTAGTACAGCTAACAGCCTTGGCAGTGCTGTGCCTTTAGGGGATTAGTTGCTACACATACAGGCGCGGCCCTCCCTTTGAGAAAAGCCTGGAGCGCAGGCTTTACGCGTATGTGTAAAATTCGCGGGCGTGCGAAATGTGCAGCATCTCGAAAGACCTTTTTGGTACACAGCTACTTCACACACACCACATATGTGACATCCATTTGTGGAATTCCAGGATGCAGCATGTTAATTGAATTGTTACAGAGTGGGAGGCTTTGGGGCCACTTGAACTTATTGTCATTTTCACAATTGATCACCATACAGCACTATCCACCATTTACCACACTGTATTACACCATACGAACTGAAAGTCCAAGGCGGATAATCCTGTCTTCTAGAATCTCTCCTTATCCATTCACCCCATCATCCGCAGAGACAGAGGGTTGAGCAATCGCCACCAGTCCAGCGTGCGAATCTCGATCCATCAATTGTGACCTTCATTCCACATCTCAGCAGCTAGCCACCATTTCACTTTTCGACAATGTCGAGGGCTTACCCAGGAATCGAACCCAGGACCTTATCACCAGAATAGACCAGGCCAGCATGTTTAGACATGCGCTATTTTTCATTTACCGAACTTAAAAAAAATAATTTGTTGGCTGTTAATGTGTTACCCATCTGCACAGTGGATGAAGTGAAGATGATCACTGTAACGACGCAAGGCCCAACTGAGCATCCCGGGTTACGCCTTTGCTTTGTTACAATGGTATCGAGACGGGGCCGCACGACTTCCGATGAAATCTTCGGGTCGGTGGTTCGATTCTGACAACAAGCAGGTATCGCAGAAAGCGATATCATGGGTAATGGATAAACCAGCGCACAATGCGTGAGGTGGGATGGCTCCAATGCTCGATATAATGGCCGCGGACGTCCATTGCTAAAGGGGGGGCAATGTAACGACGCAAGGCCCAACTGAGCATCCCGGGTTACGCCTTTGCTTTGTTACAATCACGGTGTTACTGGAGGACAACCTTGGCGACCCTGCACAAGTGGAGAAGCGAATTCAAAACCAGCATGACTTGGCGGTATGAAGCAAATGACAGGGATATGTACATATTTGTTTATGAACATGTTTCTCCTTGAGGGTTGGGGATACAGGGGGATGGGGATGCCAGCGGCACAATGCAAGCATTTGTCCTGGCTCCACAGATAATGCTCCACAACCACCCACTCGGGGGCACTGTAGCAGTAGCTCACCTGGTGACACGACTGGCTTTGCGGAAGTGTGGAGTCCAGGGTTCTCGCTGAGGTGGGAAGAAGTCCCACCCAGCGACAAGCACCAGTATACATGAGGTAACTGAAATGGTGGCAGCGGAGTCTTGATCTCCGAACACCAAGTATTGATGAGTAGAAGTGCCTGGCCAGAGCACCCCGCCTGGGTAGCTTATATCTCAGCCTACCTGCCGGAGAATCTCCACTACGGACCTGCCATACTAGGATACTGTCGATGGGTCCGGGGCCCCAGCCCGGACTTGTTCACTATGAACCACTGCCATCTTCGTGGCACGTCACGATGATACGTTACATGTACGAAACTTGAGTCGAATCGTCAATGAAATCAACAGTTATTGTTAACAGTAATCGTTGACACTATTCCAAGGGAAATGTAGCGTACTACAGTCTCTCCCCTCAGAAGCGAACTGTCCCGGGAGTGTCACCTCTTTAGAAGAAGCTTTCCGTCCCTTAGGTTTCTCCAGGGCTTGAGGGTGCTTCTTAGACGCAAGTTGGCGTTTATATTCATCGATGGCTTCAGCCAAGGGAGTGGATTGGTGAAGGGATTCCTCTGGTTCATAGGTATTATTTGTAACTCTAGTCGTAACCTTCCCATTTGATCAAATACTCTCGATGTATCTTTCCACGTCCCCCTCGGACTGAAATGTCATACAATACGGCTCACCCTCGATGGCAAGCGGCACCGGTGGCCGTCGCTTTTCGTACGCTCTGTACAACTTCAACATAGAGACGTGAAAGACCGGGTGTAGGTTTGTAGGACTGTGTAGGTTGTGCAGTGAGCTGCAGGGATATAGGCATGTCTTTAGGCAGCGAGACAAGCAGGCGGCTGTTGTGAAGACAAGTTGAGACTAGTCTTTCCTTAAAGAATTGCAACGCACACTGCATGATGGCTCTGCGAAATGAGCCTTCATATGCTTAAGATGCAACATGCATTTGCATGCCAATAGCCTTGCAGACCAGGGTTCTTCACCCCGATTCGGGCCCGAACATTTTTGAGATTTTTCCGTTTTGCCCGAAAGGAAAATTAGTGCGAACCGGAGCATCCCGAACGGATTTTGAGCCTTTTGAAGCATTTCTTCGGGGGGCCCACCGAAGCCTTCCGAAGGCATTTTCGGAGAAAACCGAACGATATTTCAGCTTTCATTTACATGTTTTCGGGCGCGGTTGGGCTCCTGCACCGTATTGCCAAGGTGGGCGACTGTGTTCTGCCTGATGAGAGTGATGATGAGGGCAGTGTGGGCAGTGAAATTGCAGAGGCCTATTATCCTTCTGATAACGAGGAGGTCGAGAATGTGGCAAGTGACGAGGTGTACCCGTCTGAGGAGACGGACGATGATGATGTGGGAGGTGTGGTGGAGGCAATTGCTGCATAGGTGGATGAGGAGCGGCGCCTCCTTGGCTTTGGGTAAAATCCCCACCTGAACGATTGCTCCCAGGCGCCATGTTCCCAAAGTCAAACACTTGTTACTTCAGCCGTCCTAGCATATTACGATAGAAACCAGCTGAATTTTACTCCGAAAACCGCTTCAGACAGTTTCGGGGTGCCCGAAAAACTGTCAGGCTGACGGGAAAACTTTCGGGAAGGGCCCCGAAAGGTTATTTAGAGGGTTTCGGACACGACCAAAATTTTTGGGTACCCTGGTGAAGAACCCTGTTGCAGACTGTGTGCATTTGATGTGTGATTGGATGCCTATTGCTTTATGCATTGTCTCCCCACACGCACGAATCTCAATATGGAATCGCATGTGTATCGCCTTGCTACACATCCCTATGGCATAAAACGGGGGGTACCCCCCCCCCCGTGTAACCCAGGGTGTAGGGGTACGGGTTACCCATGTGGCTATGTCCGAAGGGAGGTGGGTAGCCTAACCCCGGGGTAGGGGTAACCCCTTACCGAGGGGTAACAAAGGGGTTGGGGTAATACATGACTGATGGGTAACAGACAGGGTAACCCATATTTACATTCACCTGCACCTGTCTCGCCTGTCTACCAGGGTTAGACACTGACCTTCCTGAAACTTGCGGGCTCCCCCCTACCTCTCAAATTTTCCTTACGGAGGGGCCCCCGTACCAGGCTCCTGTACCTGCCGAAAAACTTAGGGGGGCCCCCGTAACCCCCGCAAAACCTTTACGGGGGCACTGTCCTTGGCTGAAATGCTGTGGAAAGTGACGCTTTGCATTTTTTTTGCCCTGTAAATCGTTATTTTCGTTATCTTCTCGTGAACCATTACACTCGGGGACACGGCACACTCAGTGAAAGCCAAGCGCCTTGGCCGCCGCGGCCACCCATCCCTTCTGCTCCTCTTTCTCGTCCTCCTCATCCTCGTCCTCCTCCTCATCATCAAAACCCTCATCCACGCCAAGCTCCTCAGGAGCATTGTTGGGGTTGCCTATAACACAAATCTTTCGGTCAACTTTCAGGCCTGCGGTTCTTGTCAATCAGCTTCGAGTCCCTACCCTACCTTCTTTGCAAGGCTCATCATCTACTTTCTTTGTGGGAACAGGTTGGCTTGCAGGCTTTCCACCTGCGGTTCTTGTCAATCAGCTTCGAGTCCCTACCCTACCTTCCTTGCAAGGCTTATCATCTACTTTCTTTGTGGGAACAGGTTGGCTTGCAGGCTTTCCACCTGCGTCCGGACCGAACATGAGATCGGCGAGGAGTGCTACAACCAGCTCCGTTCCCACAATAGATGAGCGAGCTTACCAGAGCCCCATAGGTCCGACAATTTTAAGGTGGCGCACTTCTTGGAGGGCGGTGGCTTAGGAGGCCCTTGGTCACCTCCTGACGACTCCTTGTACATGTCTGCCATCGCTGGATGTTACAGACCAGAAGTTATAAAAGTATTATGAAAAGTGCAGTTAAATATTGCAATATGAATTATGTCTGCCAAGTGTGTGGCCTTATCCTTTATATGGTCAAAGGGTACTACAACCTTGCATGGCAGTCGGCAATCGGTCTGTTCTCTCCCCTACGGGGGACTTTACAGGCCCCGTACGGCCTCTTATAAATCCTTAAAATCCTTACGGGGCCCCCGTAACCGGCCTTCGGCCGGTCCGGGGGCGGCCCCGTAGGGGGTCGCTTCACGCCCAGAAATCCTTAGGGGGCCACCGTAAAGTCCTACGGGCCCTTACAGGGATACCGAAAAAAGGCCAAAAATTTATGGGCCCCGTACGGGGTGTCGAACCCTGCTGTCTACACACGCAAACATACATGTCTTCACTAATCACTTGTGAACGCCCAATTATCAACATTGCTGCACCAAAACATGCCTTGTTTAGAAACCTAAACCTAAGGATAAGTCACACAGCTGCAGCCTAGATGCAAGGAGGCAGACGAACAGGTGTACATAGGCAGAGCAAATTGGGGACCATGAGAAGCCGCCAGTGAAGCCAATAAATATTCCTATCAAAAGATCCAGGCACTTACCGCTGCTCCAGACCCAAGACCTAAAACTCACGGACCAGCCAATGGGCGGCAATGTAAGGTCGGCCAGTAGCTTAAGTGCCCCGTCCCGACCTGCTAATTCCAGCTCTACGCACAACCTATGCAACACTATCCAGAGTCTGCTCGTTTTCAGAGCAGGCTCTCCTAAGAGTGTTGAGGGTCTTGGGCGGGAGATCAGGATGTTTGACCCCGAACACGGTCACACCCGGTGAAGTGTAAGGCGCCCTTCCAGGTAAAATCCTCCATGTGCTGCAAAAAGACAGTCAACGGTCATGTTGTGGAGGTCTGCGCGCGCGAACGTTAGAACGCCACCATTTTTGCCGCCATACACACTAGTATTGCAATGCAGATTATATGTGTGCATTGTATGTATGGTCAATAGGAACAATGCTGGCAGTGAATATGATTGACTGAATTCATGATAGTGGTCATTGCTTATTTTCACATGTCCGTCTAATTAAAAGACCAGCCAAGAGTGTGCATTATATGATCTTACAAGCTAATTAGCTGTGATCCAGCTTGAATGTGCTTGTTAGGAGTATCAATGGAGGCAAAGCAGCATGCACATATGTGTATGACCACCCCCGGCCGGTAATATGTCGGCCGACCTCAGGACTGATTGCCTGATGTTTTCACAATGAGAACTATTATATAACAATGGATGACAACCAAAGGCATTCATTTAGTGAAGACTTGTCTTCGACTTGCGTGTGTGCTGCTGTAACACAGCAAAGGCGTAACCCGGGATGCTCAGATTGGCATTTGCGCCGTTACAGCTGCCAGTATTCGCGCCTTCTCCTGGTACTTATTTTGTGTGATGTCAGCATTAGACCTTAAGGTTGAAATGGCGAACAATGCTTTCCGAGATACCATGATACTGTAGGTTGCTAATGTTTACATTTAAAAAAGTATCCGGAAGTATGCAGAATTTATGATGTGGGAAGCATAATAAGACAAGTAGCCTATAGGCCCATACATATGTCCATAGTCCAGGGCAACGGAGGGGTTTCCCCTGGGGCTGTGTTATCCCTCCTGCTGGGTAGGTTTACAAGGGGGTTACCAAAGGGCTACCGGGGGTTGAATGTGGGTAACCCATGGGTTACTGACCCAATCAGTGCCTTAGGGCATGCGTGTATATACACGCATATGTGCTTCTTGTTATTTTGCATTTCAACATACGCACGGATGAGTTGTTTTAGTCGACCAAAATGATGCAAGTTTATTCCCAAATGAACCTTTACAATCATAGAATTAGAAAATATTTAAGATTTCAGCCAGGAGGGCCGATTTCCATGTGTCGGCATCTTCCTTCTGGTCTTGTTGTGCAGCCAGGAGACAGTACGGCTTTGTTGATAAGCTCGTGCAGCATCACGCATGCAGGCACTGTGGTTTTTAGGTCAACCGGCACATTCTTGAGCCTTGCCTGTAAGCCAAAACATAAAGTGCTCAAGCGGGTCCATTTGCACTAAGTTGAAGTATTGCATGAAAAGTGAAAACCACGTCTTCCTATTGGTAATTTGTGAATCTTTTTTCCCACTAAAATGTGGAGGTGCAAAGTTACCTGTTCCAAGTCACAGTGGAGCTGGAGGGTCTGCCAGCCTTCTTGGCCACACCCTCACTCCGAGCTGCTTGACTTCTTCAAGGTGCACCTCAGGGTCCAGGTTGAACTGTAGCACAATGCTGCAGCGTTTCCAAATCGATAAAGGATGCGAATCTGCTATCCAACGCCTCACAGACACCATCCAGAATGGCCTGTTTGCGGTGTTATGATCACCACTGTTGTGCAAAGCTAATGTACTGTATGGAAGCTGTATCGATACAGTTCTGATATCAGAACACCTTGCATGTCTCCACAATGCCAGTTTCATCCAGCAACCTTTTTGACTTTTGCCCTTTTCATTTACTTTTCTTTCCCACCATTATTTGTCCACGTAAACCCATCACACATGCAGGAGTGGCTGAAGGAACTGCAGACAGTGGGTCTCAAGCCTATCACCACGGTGGTGGGGGGGCCCATGGAGGAGCCTGGTGGCATCCAGGAGCTCTTCGACATCCAGGAGGGTGGTGAGGGCCGGATTCTCAACACTGAAAAGCTGCAGCACGTTCCCAAGCTGGTGACCACCTATGATCAGCTAGAAGATGGTGCGATCTACACTGTGGGGGCCAACAATAGCGATGTCATCAGGCAAATGAGGCAGCAGGTTGGACACATGCTGCAGGTGGGTACAGGGTGTATATTGTATATGCCACTATGGATGGTGATGGATAGGCCACCGCATTGCAAAGGATGTATAATGTATAACCCCCCATTATCCATTACTGCACCAGGCTGGTTTCGAGGATAGGTGCTATCTGTTGGAGATCACGAATCTTTGAGAGTGTAGAACATGTCAGTCAATCCCAGTATGGCTGACAGCCAATCCAAGGTCTCTGGGTGGCTCAACACATCTAACCTCAATCTCGAACCCTATCTGTTAGCTGTGATAGACCAGGCCAACAGGTAAAGTGGACATGCTGCTAGCCTATGATTGCAGACATGTGGTTGATGTGTGGTTCACAAACAATGCCTGCAAAATGGAGAATGCCAGCACCTGACTTAAAAGCTTGAACCAAAAGTGTAAAATGTTTAGGCTCAATTCACCAATTCAAGTGAAAGAGGAGTAGGCTTGGATAACTAATTGCAGTGGTGCAATGCAAGAGGTGGAGCACCTGATGGTGTTCAAGAGCCAGGAATGTGTACAGGACTGTGTATGATCAGCAGCATGTAGGGATGTTTATGCTGTTAATTGCAGGCTTTGGCAGCTCCAATAATCAAAAATGCTGCCAGTATAGCAAATCGACCAGCAATGCAAACATATCCCACTGCATGGGGCTACCCATGACAACATTACTTTCACAGGTTCAGGCTGCTCTAGATGGAAGGGGCATGGGCACCATGTTTCGTTCATTTTTTGTTTGTTGCCTCCTCAGCTACTCTGCACCCTTTACATTACACCTCCAGGCCTGCAAGGACCAGCTTGGGTGTGCAATGCTATCGTATGCGGATGCCAGCAAGCCTGGTGTATGTCGCCTGCGCCCCGACTTGCGTGTGCTGAAGGGTCCGAAAGGCATCGATTCGATGGAGTTGGATGCGGTGGTAACATGTGATGATACCGCATACATTGCTTCTCACAAGCTGCGTATTACTGGCCCAAAGTAAGTAATCTTTGCCCTCATGTCTTGTAGTGATTCCCACTTAAGTAGCAGGTTGTGTAGTAGCTGGTATACATTACAGCTCTACAAATCCGCCCGTAGCATGACCACCAGCATCTCGAGAGGCCTTTTCAGCAGCCAGCTATTACATTTGGTACTGAGACCTCGTGAAAATTCATGATCCTGAAGTCGTCGGTTCAACTCCCACCAATCACGCTTGGTGGAATATCGGGTTTGGCAACTCAGAGAGTGATTACCGCGAACAATAAAATCTAGCTGAACCGACTGGACTGTCTCTGTGCCTGAAAAACCTGAAGACGGCTAGGTGCATGTGAAGAAGGCACATGACATGACGTGGACTGCTCACCCACTGCCCAAGGGTAGGAGAAGGTAGGCACAGGCTGGTGGTATATGAGGCCAAAAGGGCCCGAGACGGATCCCTTCAAAGGGGGGGGGATGTAGTAGCTGGTACACAGTATGGCTCTACAAATACGCGTGTAGCATGACCACCAGCATCTCGAGAGGCCTTTTCAGCGGCCAGCTACTACAGGTTGCAACGAATTCCATAGCGTGATGTCATTTGGTAGTTTGATGCAGGTATGTCACCAGAGCAGTGTGTGTCCTGTCCATTTGCATGTTTGCCTCCCTGGACACACATATATGCATCCACTGGACTCATTCTGTGTGGTTCAGAACGATGCAGATTTCATAATGCCATGCACATGGTGCTGGATTTTTTGGCCCTAACTTGCTTCACTGGGATGGCACTGCAATCAGAGTGCTATACACACTGTTAAGCTTTTGCCTGCACTGTTTTGTGTGACTGCAATATGCAGGCCGGTCAAGGCCATTGCAGAGACAGTGAAGCTGGTGGCGCAGCGGAGCCAGGACCCGTCCTACAGTGGCACTACTTACGCTAAGTTCCGTCAGTTTCCCAACTTGGTGGCAGTGCTTGGTGCTGAGAAGGTGGAAAGCAAATCAGAAGAGCTCATTTCCAAGGCATGTTTTGAGAACAAGGTGGTGCGTTTCAAGCGGAATGGCCGCTCATTTTCGATAGTTACAAGCATGTATAGCAAGCAGCATGGCAGGTTTGGCCACACCCGGGCTTTTGGCTGAAAGCATAGAGCATGGTCTGGTACACTGCCAATATCTCAACAGTTTGCCTAGGTGGAGGTGTGTGGGAATGTTGGACCTTGCTTAAATGTTGGACCTTGCATATATACATAGGTCAGGTCAGGCACTACTGGTAGAGCATGCACCAACGCCCCTGGGAGATCCTAGGATGGAGACCTGTCAAGGTTGAAAATCCTTCCGATGGTGGAAGGTAAAGTGCCCCTAGTTGATGGACAGTGGTGACCTGGGATAAAGTGAACTTGCGAGCTGACCAGGAATGGAGTTGAGCTGCCATCGATCCGGCAAGTTCTGTTGGATGCTGATTGTGGGTGTGGAACCTGAGTGATCCACTGAGAAGTTGGCTAGGGTGACTAGATGAGGGAAGGCAGGGTCTGCCAGGTAGTGGCTGCAGGGTCAAGATATGACCCCCCTGTTTCACACATCATACAGGGGGGCCTTCTGTGCTGATTGGAGTGTGGGGCAGCAAACTTAAGAACTGCATTGGACCTCTGGCATCATCAAGTATTCCGAGCCCCACTGTAGCCTACTGGGCCTGACTGCTGTAAGCACTGCTGAGACAGATCTGACTGCAGCATACCCCACCACTGTATGGAAGACTTGACTGGCTGTGGGCCCTCTCAACTCATCCCCTCCCAGCCCCTGGCCTCTCCCCATCCTCATCAGCACATCAATCATCCGCTGTTGTGGTACCTGAATCGAGGTTGAAAAACACGTGTTATTGGAATGCCCAGCCTATAATGATATTCGTGCTGAAGGGGTGCTGAAGAGGGATTCAGTCATCAACAGAGCATGTTGGAGGCCATGAAATGGGAACCAGCACGTCTGGCGAGGATGTTGGAACGTATGTGGGCTCATCAAAACTCAATTACTCCCTTTGGACACTAGTCTGGGCTGATGTGCGGTGTTTTCCTTTCCTCCGTGGCTTTTAGGCATTGTAGTATTGCCCTTGGGCCTTCGGCTTGTATGGGTAGTCTTACAGGTATGGGGTCACGCACCCCCAACCATGTAACACACACACACATCCATCAACTGGTTCAACCCTGCTGGTCTTATTAGCATGTACCACAGGAGGTTGTACTTTGACACAAAAGGGGAACATGCCAGACCTCACAGATGTTGGCAAAAACTCAACAACTACAGCTACTGAGGCTGTGTGTTAGTTGTTATTGTTAGGCTGTGTTGCTGAGGCTGATGTGTTAGTGCACCCTTCCATATGAGTGCTCTCAATCACACAGAGTGCGAGCACTCGGGAAATGGGCAAGGACCTGGCAGGGATGTGGTGTGCATCTTTTGCTTGCACGGCATCCCCCATATGCCGACAGGGTTGACACACCGAATGGGGCAGCCAGCCTTTTAGAGTGCTCGCCAAACCCCAATCAGTGCTCATCATTGCCCTCTTAATGCCCGGTTACCTCCCATACGGAGGGAGAAACCAATGGGTGCAATGACTACTTCTCGATGATTGTGGAATACAGCAGTCTGTTGAACCAACTGCACATTTCCCAACAAGCGGGGATATTGTTATCCAGATCGTCAGAAATGAACAGCCACAAAAATACAAACTCGGTAACCGGGAACCTGACCAGACCGATTCCGCCCTGAAAGGCCAGCGCCGTATCTAGTGTACGGCTCATGTTGACCGTTGCACGACAACTTGAGATCAACCTTTATGCAGAAATGCGAATGGAGCACTTGATTTGAGCACCCTACGCACCACTGCTCTAGGCAAGTATACAACTGCCCTCGTGCTTTCAAGAGATCACCCAAACCACACGCCACTCCACTCCTTAATAGGTCACAAGCGGTATGAAGCCACATATTCTGAATCCCCTCGCACACGACCTTTCGAATGAGCCTTGACTCACCACAGGACGACAGAACATGGCCAATGCTCGCCCAGCTTCCCCTGTGCAAGTGCGCCCTGCTGCATTGTCTGGAAAAAAGATAATGGTTAACAGCGCGTATGACCACACCCGCTCACCCAGCTGAGCCGCCCGGTGTGAGAGGGATCAGCTCCCCTGGCATCGCCCAACTGAGTACTCTTTGCCTGGTGTTACATTGGTGCGAATTGCTAGGTGGAAACTCCCCGGATCGAATCCGGATGCGAACATATCGCACACCAGGCATGATGCAGCATACTCTTCCCCAAAGGTGGATGCCCGGGCGGGCGAGAAGTCTACCAGCTGAGTAAATATAAAGTCCTCCATCTCGGACGGGGACTAACGAAATGTCACAATTACCAACAAATTCACAATCCTACGGGATCTCAAACAACATAAATCCTACGGGATATGCCCAGGGGCGCCCGAGGACGTTCGCTCGAGGGGGGGAGGAATGTGAGAGGGATCAGCTCCCCTGGCATCTCCCAACTGAGTACTCTTTGCCTGGTGTTACACCCGGCTTCCCGCCGCGGCTCTGTGGAACCCACACGCTCCACTCACACACGCTCTCCAACCCCCCCTTTACTCTTTCTTCCCTCTGGCTCTGCTGTGGCTGTACGCCCATAAGGCCCTCACCTGCTCTTCCATCAGGTGCCATCATACATCCGTCTTTGTGCACCTTGCATAGTCAACTGATTGGCAAATAGATTCCATGCAGACAGACAGACAGATAGACCTCTCACATAGCACGCGACCTGCTCGTTGCCTTGGTAGGCCAACCTTATTGGGCTCAGGCCGCTGCCAACCTTTCCGCCCTCCTCAACCTAAAATTGGCAGCCGGCTCACGGCCCCCCTGCCTCCCCCCCTTATCACGTCCCTTACATCAGCAGCCAATAACAAAGGGAGCCTGCGAGGCGCTCGCAACTTCTAAGTGGTGAAAGCTAAATAAAGGTTTATGGTCGCCACTACTGCAGGCGCTCTCCACACCCGTCCTCCTAAGAACTAACGGCCCCACTGCCACCGGCGATGGCACTGGACAGCGCTGTAGTCGGGTCGGGGACGGCGGTAGATAGTGCCAGCCCTTTCACGAAGTCTAAGATGTACTTGGCTGCCAATTGAGGTTGCTCCAGATGCGCGCAGTGGCCGCACTGCTCCACCCAGACCAGGCGGGAGTGCGGAAGGGTGTCCTGGAACCGGGAGGCGTACGATGGATCCAGGATCTCGTCGTTGCGGCCCCACAGGACGAGCACGTCCTGCTGGATCTGGATTCAGGGGCAGCCCGATGGTAAGAGGTTGAGGTGTGGTGGTGTAGGGAGGGGAGTTTAGGAAACGCCAAAAAAGCTGACTAAGAGCAAGATCGACAGGGGGAGGGGCGGTTGAGGTGCAGGGTAAAGGGTTCGCTGCCGCAGTAAGGTTAGCCAGTGTGCACCAAGGCCAGACTTTTTCCCCTAAGCTCCCCCGGCTTGGATCCGCTTATGGATCCGCTTTTGGATCCGAAACAAAGAGCGTTTCGCAAACCTTCGCACGCCGCGAGGTGTGCAGCCCCATGCATCGCCAACCCCCCCCTCACATGTCACCGACTTCGCCTCCACTGCCTTGTAGAGCTCGTTACCCGCACACACACATCCACACCATCCACACACACAGCAACCCCCCCAATCGTACACGGGCGACAATGACTGGCCTGTGCAGTACCTGGCTGATCTTGCTGCTAATGGCGTATCCCCCGCTGCGCATGAAGGCGATGTTGGCATCGAGCCAGCCCGGCAGGTGGGTGTGCAGGCGGCCGATGCGCATGGCGTCCTCGGTGGCAAAGCGCTCCTTGTCAAAGTAAGCCATCTACTCATCAGGGGAAGAGAGGGGATAGGGGGAAGACGGAAGAAGGAAGGGACGGGCGGGTGACCAGATGGGGAGGGCGGTTGTGGAGGGTGGAGAGCGGAAACATGGACACAGAAATGGAAATAGGGGTGTGCGTGTGTGTGGGGAGGTGTAATGAATGAAGTAAAACACAAGACGTTAGACAAGGCAAGACCCCAAAGTTAGGGTCGGTGGATGTAGATGATGCTGGTGATGGTGGTGATGCTGATGTGTATGAAGATGATGTTGATGATGTTGATGATGTATAATGTGTATGGTGATGATGAGACGGGGTGTATCGTTCAGATAGGCCCACGACAATCATGTCCTTACCCGGCCAATCCCCCCCCGCTAGTTCCCAGTCCCCTTCCCACCCTCCCCCCGACACACACACGGCGATTCCCTTCCGCTCAGTGCGAAGTCCACCACTGACCACCACTCCCAAACCTATGTCCGTGCCAACAAATAGCACTCCTCCTCAGAGCGTTCGTGTTCGCTCAGTTCCCGGGTAACACCCGAGCGGGTTCACGTCAGAACACGGACCGAACAGACATTGCCGTGGACCCCAATTCGTGGACCCATCCACCCGGGACCCACCCACCCACCTACTTGCCTTGTTCGCCGCCTGTCTGAGGGGCACCGACTGCAGCACCCGGACTCCCAGCCACAGCAGCCATCGGGGAGCGGAGGACATCCGACCAATACCGTCAATGAAGCCCTGGCCGTCGATTAGAACCACACCCCGAACCAGCTGCGGCCGCGAGTCGGTTTCGGGAATGCGAGCCAGGGCGGTTGTCAGAGCGGGCGAGTGTATGACGGTCACGTGCGTGCGTGAGACCCACACAGGGTGTGAAGAGCATGGAAGTGGGGAATGAACGGCAAATGTTTTTGAATGCGAGGATGGCAGAACTAGTACAACTGTAATGTAACTCCCTCATTCACACAGCGGCGAAGAGTACCACAAGAACCGCACACCGCAATTTTCTCCGGTAATGGAGGGTGTGAGGGTATATTGAATGCTGGAATCCTAGGGCAAATGCGTGTGTTGTTGTTGTTGGTGGTGGTGGTGGTGGTGCTCGTTTGTTTTGTCGCGGTATCCCCTCCTCCTCCCGGTCGGTATATCCTCCTCAGAAGGCTGGAGGCGGAGGGGGAGCGCCCTACGCTGCAGCTGCAGGTACAGGTACGGCCCTCAACATACGGCCCTCGTACAGTGCCGCGCTAACTGGACTATAACGTTAAGAACCCTAAATCCCCTGGGGGCCTTCGAAACACCTGACTGACACGTTTCCCCCTCCTCCTCCTTCAGAAGGCCCCCTCCTGCAACACCCCTCCCACTCCCACTCCCACTATTCAATAGCGCCGTGCAAGGCCCACCTGCGGGTACGTGTGTGCAAAGTCGAGTGCCTTGGCCCCCCCCAGGGAGGCTCCCACGAGAACCACGGGTCGTTCCCGGTCCGTGTGGGCCTCCAAGAATGCCCGCAGGTGGGCGGTCTTGTCCTCGGGGCGGATCACCAGCGAGGGATCCGACTGGAACAGCGAGCAGTCCGTGAAGCCCCAGCCCACCTGCGCGTGTGTGTGTATGCGCGTGTGTGTATGCGCGTGTGTGTATGCGCGTGTGTGTATATGCGCGTGTTATAAGTGGACGGGAGCATCCTGTATGGTGATGGCTGAGTATTTACTAACAGCACTTGTGCACAGGAGCCAAGGCAGGGCAGCAAAAAGCGGCGAGTGTGTGGTGACGAAAGAAGTTTGGGTGGGAGTTGCAGCCGCTACTTCTCTCCTTCGGCTGCACGATACGCTAAGGCCGTGCGTGTGTCTGTGTGTATGTCTGTGTGTTGTGTGTGTATATTTGTATGTATTCGGCGGTAAGTTAAAACTTAGGCCACATAGCATGGATGGACACATTCGGGCTCGAACACTGTCGGTGCTGTCGGTGTTGAAATAAATTGCCACGCTGGGTTGTGTGTATGTTGGGCGCGCGCGGGCCTCACCAGGTCCAGAGCGTAGGTGGGCGCCGCTGCTGCCAAGAGGGGATAAAGCCGTCGCCACTCCATACAAGAGGAATCAAATCCATGTAGTAGGATAATGGTGGGTGCGTCTTTGGGGTAGCGAGAAGCTTCCTCAATGGTGGGTCCCACGAAGGCTGTCGCCACCTCCGGTGACCGTGGCATGGTGGGGATGGTGACGGGCAGCCGACGCATATTCGCGGCCATGGTTTGGGCCGCTGGCTCTACAATTTCATTGATCTGTGGTGGAATGAAAGCTGCAGGCTGTGCATGTGCGATGTGCTGCACGGGCCGCTGGGCATGATGGAGTACGTATGAAGGGGCCTTCTCTTTCAAAACAAGAGCACGAGGGCGCGATCTAAAGCATGTGCTTGCTCCATAATTCATAATGAAATGTTGAAGCAGAGTATACGATTACCAAGGTAACGACAAATACAAAGCAAAACACTAATGCCTACAGGCGATAATAAAAACGAGCTAAGCAAGTACAATGCACTCCTAAAACGCTGTAGTTTCACTTCCTACTTAACATCTTTCTTCGCACCATGCTGCCACAGGCCCCACGGATAGATTTCAATGACCGTACAACGGATCGAGTGCCCATAAGCTGACGCAAATACGCCTGCGATATTAATAGAGGCTGGGTATAGGGTTATGGGCACCCGCCTGCTACTTCCGTGTAATTTTTGTGAGTTTGAGTTGCGTATCAAGGTCGCTGGTTGGTTGTTTGGTCCAATACGCTGACTCGTTGGACATGCTCTAGTTGTCTGTTATTATTGCTTGCGCTTCACTTCATTGGTTAGGTTTTGTGCAATTGGAGCATGGCAATTAGGTGTGGGTAGGAGCGATGTCATGCTTGGCGTTGTTCCACACACCTTGTTGACAAGGAGGAACGTACTGATTGGTTTATTATTGCGTAAAAGCTCACGCACGACTAGTGTTTGCATGTTTGGGTTGTTACACTGAGGGCGGCTCGTTCCGAGAAAAGACGAGCACCGGGGACCCTGACCGAGCCGAAACACAGCACAGGGGTAGGCGGACGGCTACGTCCGTCTGTTCCTCCGCACGCGCCTCATTCACTCACTCACGCCAGTCGGGGCACACTCCCAGTCCATGTGAACAAACATTATAAAGCACACAATCGTAAAGGACGGAAGTCCTTCAGAATTATGAGTGGCGTGGCCGGCGCTTTTGCTGAGCTTGTGAACACACACCCCGAGCTTGTGAACACACCCCCCGCTCAGCCCCCTCACCGCCCGCATCCCAGCCTCCTCGCCGGTACAGGCTTTTACTTTCGCCAGCGCTAACCCTCTGTTTTTCCATGCGGGGATGGAATGGTACTATGAAAGACACGCACGTCCGGCAGCTTGTCCACCACGGCACCTGCCGGTGCCTTGGTAGAGAACTGCTATAATGTCCCGCGCAATTAGACCTAGCACGAAGAGATTGCGGGTTCACGTATGATGTATGATGCCTGAGCATGGCCACGTGCGGTCACGGCCGTGGACATCGTACTGGGCTACGTAGGCGACGGTGATGGCAATGCCGATGAATCTACGATTTTGACTTAGCATAACGAGACTTTCATGTCTCTAGTTCTAACGCGCCGCGACAAGGGTGCGCTGAGGGTGAGCGCAATGATTATTAGGCCTGTCGAAAATCTTTTGTAATTCCCCTGCAACGTTTCTGCTGACCCTTGATAATGAAGCTTAGCGTGAGGCTTGTGCCTTTTGTGAAGCACTATCGTACGTTTTGTGCGCGACGATTCGACTCCTCTTTGGATTGGAATAGGTGACCTGAATGCCATACCCAAAACTGTCTTACGATTGGGATGTTATTGGACAGCTCTAACGTGGATTGCAGACGACAGATAGGCATATTGTCCTTGAATGTCAACTCAAGAATAGAAGAGTGGACATCAGGCCTTTTTAATATTCCGTCTTGACTCTTTGCTTATTGAACGTTTTAGTCCCTACCTATTGTATCATGTTAGGATCGTAAGGTTTACTTGACTTGTCTTGGCACCATCGAAACTCACTTTCTGGTCAAGCTGCTTTGCACCATAGCCAGTTTTTCCCTTTCAATACAACATTACGCCGACATAAGTAGGAGGTTGTGCTCGTGGAGTACTCAAGCTGACGCGGGTCGACAATTTGATGGAACCAACACGATCCCAGCAAAGTGTTCTTACACCAACAGATGGCGGAGAAGAGCTCGCTCCAGCGGCTGAGGCTAGCACCAGCGGGCGAGGTGATTCGAAGTGAGTTTGGCATGTTCGCGCCCAGCAGGGTACAAAAGCGGGATACAACGCGGCATGGATAAAACTATTACGCGTCATGCAATTAGGGAGCTCTGCGCATGTTTACCCACATCTCCGTCCAGGTTCTGTACGAGCGTCGCAGGGCGGCAGAGGCGCGCGTGCGAACCCTGATCGTTCTGGCGCCTACTCCGCAGCCTCTCCCTTCCACCTCCTCCCTCCCTTCCCATCCCTTCCCCTCCACGGAAGTTCTCTGCGTGTGCCATACTGCATATCACGTAGCACTCCCACATCAATCCTCTCCGCCCTACTCCACCCCGTTCCCTCTCCCCGCAGCGCCGCGTGCCCAGAGCAAGATCCCGACGACCCCCTCGCCGCACTGGCTCTAGCTGCCAGCGATGACCTGGTGGCCCAGCTGCCCCGCTATGCCACTCCCAGCATTGCCTCCACTCTGCCCACCTACTCCAATAACGAACAGGAGTTCATTTTGCGGACCTTTGCGGGACACAATTACGACATGTTGCGGCACCTGCCCAACTCGATACGGGAACAGCAGGTGTGGGGGTGGGGTGGCAGGTGGAGGTAGGGGGGGAGGAGGGGAAAGGTGAGGGGAGATGGCGGGCAAATGGGGTGTGGGGAGGGGGAAAAAGGGGGGGGGATGGCTGCTGGCGCTGCTGGCCTCGTTGCTGCTGAAACTGGCGTGGGGGAAGGGAGGGGGGAAGACGAACCACGTGAACGAGTGAAGCTGCTGCTGCCAAGGATGTAGACTGATACACCACAGAAGTGAGGAAGCAATGACTTTTTACCAGTCGCGGCTTAAGGGGGGAGGAAGGTGCAAACCAACCACCGGCCCATACCATATGTGTATCACAGAGCACAGAGCCAGTGCGACCTCAAGAACACGACGAGCGAGTGCGCACATTGGCGAGTGAATGTTTTGCGACCCATGTAGCCGCTCCCCCCCCTCCAACACGCGAACCCGGAACCCGGAACCTGAACCTGAACTTCATTCTCTAAACGGAAAGTCGTCGGCAAGTTTGCAGAGTTTTCCCGAGCTCATTCGTATGGCATTGTACTGCATCCATCAGGGGGTTTTGGGATTCCGAGAGCGCATTCCATTGTGTTTGGTGCATACCGGTACCGGCTGCATGTGCTTACCGAGAAGGCGTTGTCTTGGAGCTGCGGGGGCCCCGGCGGGTATTACACGGCGTCGAGTGGCGGCGTCGAGTAGTAGGTAGGGAGTGTAGAGCAGCACCACGGCCAGCGGCATCGCGCAGTGTGTATTTCCCAACCCACTCCCTTACGTGGCCCCGTGTTTCCCCCCACATCCCCCTCCCCTCCTCTTCCCTCCCCGTGCCATCTGTCGCGACGTCCGGATCCACCCTATGTTGGGTGTACGGGTGACGAGGTCCACCTGCGCCCTTCGACTGCACGCGTCTCCCTGCCCCGCCTCTCCCCGCACGCCCCTTACCTGATGCCGCCGGCGCCTGCTCGGTTTCTTGTTTGACCCGCCGTGCAGGTCATTGCCAGTCGTACTGCCCGCCAAGAAGCTTGCCGTACCTTTCTCATGCCGGGGCTGCTAGGCTCTCAGCTACGACTTAAATCCAACCCTGACAATCAGCAAGGGCTGTTTACGGCATTTGAGTACATTCCTTCACGGTACGGTACGGTACGACGGGGGCAGTTGTACGGGGTAAATATACCTCTGTGGATGAGGGGCAGAGCGCAGTGAATCGTGTATCCAGATTCCAACGCAACCGAATTCAACGTTTAACTGAATCTAACAGAATCCCCGCGGCGGATCGCCTGCAGTTTGCCGCGCTCAACAAAAGCTGTGGCAGCGGCGGCGGCGGCGGCACCACGCCGACACAAATGCCCCTCATTCCAAGCCAGCTGCACACACCACATTCCCTTTTCACCTTCTTATTCCGCACATACACTTGCATACCCTTGCGGGCCCGGCCATCACCCGCACATACATACATACTTGCTTACTTACATACTTACATACTTACATACATACATACATACATACATACATACATACATACATGCATACACCTGTCCCTCGCTTCCCTCTCCTCCTCCTCTCCCCACCAAGTTCCCTCGGGCCTTCCCCAAAGTGAGCCCCCCTACACTGGACCTTTCATTTTTCGTACGTTATATTATGTTATGTTTGTAATTCTATTCACGTATTCCCTTCCCCCCTCCGCCTCTGAAGATACTCCCTGGCTGCCGAGCTGGCTTCAAAGGAGCGCGTGGCGAATGAGGCCACCCGACTGACCATCGGGCGGGGCAAGGAGTTCATCCCCGTGGTGGCGCCCAACCTGCAGAAACAGCACGTGAGGCTGAATGTGACGGTTGGGAGTTGTGGCGGTTGGTTGCTTATGAGAGACTGTGGTGGGTTTAGGATAATAAGAGGGTTAGGTGCGTATTTTGCACGGGGGGTGCTGCCCCCGCGAGCGGGCGTATCCCGGCCTGGCCCCGGCCTCCTCGCTCACTTATCACCATTCGTACGGTTACCTGGTATCTTTTTACCTTGTCGCCGGTACGGCCCGTACGGCCGGAGTCCTTGCCAGGAGTCTTCTGGTGCCGGTTCCCCCTCCCCTGCCTAACCAAATCTAAGGCACGTCTCTCCCACCCAGCCACCAACCCACCTACCCTTTGACGTACCCCATGTGACCTGTACGGTTGTACGGCAAACTTCAGGAGATCGGTCCCAAGGTGGGCTATGTGTATCTTGCTGGGCCGGAGGAGGACCGGGAGACCATGCGGCAGTCGGACAGGTGGGGGGGCAGCACGGGGAGGGGGGGGAGGGGGGGGCGGGTAGGTGGAGGGGGGAGGTGGAGGGGGGAGGTGGAGGGGAGTGGTACTGATGATCCGCAGGGGCAGGAAGGGAAGGGGAAAGAAGAGGGTTTCAGTCGGGTTTCGGTGTGGGCGGGCGCTGCACCCATACCTGTGTGCGTGTGCGCGTGTCTGTGTGTCTCTGCGTGTCTCTGAGGGTGTTGTTATGTCTGGAACAGAATCCTGAAAGTACGGCACACGCCCCTCCCCTCCGCCCTCAGGGCCCACCACGAGGCGGGTCACATCCAGCAGCCCTTCATCCCCCCGGGCACTCAGAAGGTGGCGGCGGAGGTGCCCACGCGGCTGGGGGCCTGGGGCATGATGAAGAACCTCAAGAGAGTGCTGGAGGTGCGGTACGGCAGTGTCGTGCAGTAGGTTGGGGGGGGAAGGGGGAAGGGAACATGTTGCCCAATGACACAATTTTATCCGATTTTTGTACCTTAAAGTATATGTCGGGGAAAATGCCATATCTGGTGGCATGTGGCTGCGGTGTGAGATGCGTGTCGGCTTTGTGAGTGTGTGTGGGGGGGGGGAAGAGGCGAAGGGGGTTGCTGAATGGGGGGTGGGGGGGTGGGGGGGGGAGAGGGCGAGCATGCGACACGTGAAAGGATGTGCGGGTGGGGTGGGTTAATGGAGGCGGCGGCTGGCGGGAGGTAAAGGCGGGGGGGGAAGAGTCCTGGCTCCCTCCCCCAGCGGGAGAGAGCCGGGTCCGCAGAGTCCTCTGAAGGGGGTGAGGAACAACGTGGCATGACGTGACATGAAATGTGCCGTGCACTGTACTGTAATGTACGATGCTGCCGTACAGGCGGACTGGGAGGGCGCCTACATCAGCATTTTTGAGAACGAACATGACTGCTGGGTGGTGAGTGCCGGTGTGTGTGTGTGGGGGGGGGAAGGTACATGCTACTGCTGCAGCCACTACTGCTACTGCTACTGCGAGTACGGCTATTGCCACTAGTGCTGCTGCTGGTGTCAGGGGCTCATGGCTCCTTTACACTGCAACCCGCACCGTCTTGTCCCGGCCGCCGCATCAGATGCCGATACACGCCCTCTTGAGCACATACACGACACACCTGCAGAGCCATTTCGTGCCGCCTGCTGCCTGCCTCCTGTTTCCTTCCCCCCCACATACACGCACACACATACACGCACACACATACACGCACACACACATACACGCACACATATACTGCCCTCGCTCGTCTCCTGCCCACCCCCCCCCCTCCTCTCGCCCTTCCTGGGACCCACCTTTCCCACCCAAACCCCCCTCAGGTCTGCTTCCAGGAGGAAACGGTGGACGGACTCGAGGGGCTCGCCGCCTACATGAACGTCTTCATCAGAACCAACACAGTGGCCACGGAGTACCGACTAACCAAGGTGAGTGGCAGTCCCGGGGGCCGGCGTGGGGGGGGGACGGGGCGTGGGGGGGACCGGGCGGGGGGGGGACGGGGCGGGGGGGGGACCGGG